GGAGGTGGATGATGCTGATGATGATGATGCTGATGCTGATGATGATACTGATGATGATGATGCTGATGATGATGATGATGATGATGATGATTATGATGATGATGATGCTGATGATGACGATGATGATGATGAGGAGGAGCAGGAGGAGGAGGATGAGGAGGAAAAGGAGACGGAGAAAGAGGATGATGATGATGCTGATGATGCTGATGATGCTGATGATGCTGATGATGATGAGGAGGAGGAGGCGGAGGAGGAGGGGGGGGGGGAGGAGGGGCGGAGGAGGAAGAGGAAGAAAAGGAGGAGGAGGAGGGCGGGCGGGCGGATGCCGACGGGAATAATAATACTACTACTAATAATAAGAAGAATACCAATAATAAGTATAATAATACGAATACTAATACACATAGGAAGGAGAAGACACATAAGGATAATACTAATCATAATACTGGTAATAAGCACTACACACTTTTGGAGCTCCGCGAGGATTTATCGGATCGGCGCTGTCCCCTCCACTTTGGCGGCGCCTCAAGCGCCGATCCAAGGAATCCACGCGGGCCTCCGAATGTTCGGATCACGTCATGCTTTCTTCTCCGAGCGACGGCAGAGACGCCCGCGCCGACGTGAACGGCAACAGCGAGGTGGACGGCGACTGAGACGGTGACGCCGCCAGTCGCCTTGGCCTTCGCAGCGGCCTGACCATATATTCTCAATGCCAGATTACTCCACTGACTGCAGGCGCCATTTGGAGCTCCTGGGGCCCTCTGGGCCTCGTGCTGTAGATGCCATCTGGGCCACCATGGAAACGCTGGGGTCATCCTGGGCAAGGGCCGCCTCTGGCAACAGCGTACGCTTGGTCCCAGGCTGGCTTCCTCACTCTAGCTCCACCACGTCTACTTCCTTCACCTCCTCCTCCTCCTCCTCCTCCTCCTCCTCCGCCTCCCCCGCTTCCTCCCACGACAGCGCAACTCTTGTGGTGGTGCTTCAGAAGAGTGATCTGAAGCTCGAAGCTCTCCGTGAGGGCGTGTGGCTTTGCTGTGCTCCTGCTCGCAACGCACACCGCCAGAGGCGGCGGAAAGCTTGATATATCCACCAACCAAACAAAAAAGAGTCAAAGGCTTCCTGGCCTTGTCCAGCCTTCTGCCACCAAGCCCTGGAGCTGCCAGATCGGCACCGTACACGAAGCTTAGGTCAAGAGAACATCCTCGCGGAACTCCAGAGTCGGCTCCAATATGAGGCATTGGCACGCCGATCCAGGCGCTTCGAGTTTCGGCTTGCAGTGTTTCAGCCAGATGTGTGGAGGCCCTGCTCTGGAGGAGGGGCTGTTTCAGCAGGCCGAGCGGGCAAATGTAATCATTCTCGTTGGCGCTCGCAAGGGACGTCCCTGGTAAAACATGTGCCCTGGGAATGCTGTGGACGCCAGTGGTGCCTGCGAGGCTGTTAAACAGCCAGGGTCCAGAGAGAGAGAGAGAGAGAGAGAGCCCACACCTCTGAATCATGTCGGGACGCGTCGTGTCTTGCCAAAGGGTCTCGCTGCGGGTGCGCTTTGAACGTGCCACCGATGTCGGGAGCAGGAGCGGAATTAACGAGAGAGGAAGGACAGGGATAAAGGAGGGATGCATGAGGGGGAAGTGGAGGGACCAGGGGATCATGTGAGGGCGGGAAGGAACATTCACTGCCGTAGTAAGGAACTTCCCGCTGCTCGTACTCCTTCTCCTTCGCTTCCCCTTCGTCTTCGTCCTCGTCCTCGTCCTCGTCCTCCTCCTCCTCCCCAGATGCAGAGGATGGGCGCGGGTCCTCGGGCTGCCGCGGCCACCCCTTCAGCGAGCAGAAAGCGGAGAGCTCGGCCAAGTTGCCGAACGCGAGCCGGCATCCCGGCAGGACCCTTCGGCGCTGGATCCATCGGCGTCGCTGTCTCGACAGCCCTGGCGACGATCACCGCGGTGCAACGATCGCGCCGATGTCGTCGCGACGATGTCGTCACGATCGACGAAGGCGGTGATGGCAATAGCTACCACGCGAGCTAGCTGCGACCCTCGGCGCTTTCGCCGTCCGCGCCATCGTGACCGTAGCTACCCAGACTCCTACGGTGCAGGCATTGTGTCGACGCCGTCGTCGCGACAACGTCAGGCAACGACTCACCGGCCAATGAGTAGGTCCTCGCCCTCCTACTCCCCCACCCCTACGCTCTCCTCTTCCACCTCCAGCGAAACACGGTCTGCAGATCCGACCGACCTGGTGCGGACAAGAATCCGCCATGCGCGGCCACTGGCGCCCCAGCAGTCCCCAGGAATGGACGATGACGATTATGTGTGGCCAGGGAGGTCGTGGTGGTGGCGGTGACGATTGGCGGTGGTGATGGTGCCAAGCTCCGTCGCGCAATACTGGCGAAGCACACGAGGCCCCACCAAGCGCTCGCATGTCACCATCCCCCGGAGCTCGAGACAACTCGGCGGGAGAGGCGCGGAAGCGCACGACGATGTGCCAACGCAAAGGAGGCGCACAAACGCCAACGGGGGAAACGGCTCTTCGTCGTGAGGATATCAGCACGGCAGGACATCGCACAAAACCAACAAACACGAATGGTGATGGTCGTGGACGGTTTCCCCCGGGGCCGTAGGCGACCTGAGGAGAGGAGGGCGAGGAGGAGGAAGAGGAGGAGGGGGAGGAGGAGGAGGAGGAGGAGGAGGAGGAGGAGGAGGAGGAGGAGGAGGGGGAGAAAGAGGAGGAGGAGCGCAGCGCCTCAGGAAGGTCTCCCGCCGCGCGCGCGGGCGCCCGACGGACTGCCCCCTGGCGCCGCCTACTCACGGCGCGGTGCCGTAAGAGCAGGAGGCAATGTAGAAGAGGGGCAGCTGGAAGAAGTCGCTCTCGAGGCCGTGGACGCAGGCCAACTCGCTGCCGACGAAGAAGGCGTCGCCGCCGAAGAAGACGCCGTGCCACCAGCCGAACACGGAACAGCAGCGAATCACGACATGGTCGATCATCGCGCCGCGTGGCTGCAAGAGGAGCCACCCTGCGGGAGCGGCGCTGCTGGGGTACGTTGGGCACGAGGCGCCAGGCCCTTCTCGACGCGCCTGGTCGCATGTTGTCGGTTGCGGCGCGTGGGCTCGTTGGGCGAGAGCCCATCGCACCTCAAGCCAAGCTTCCGCACTGTACGGGCATCTCCCGCAGCGCAGTGAGACCCGCAGCGACTGCAACAGTAACCATTGTTGCCCCTGAACACGTCGCGCCCAAGCGCGGCGAAGGCGTCCCCGACCTCCTCGGACAGGGCAGGTGGCAACAAGGCTGCGGGGGTCGAGGGCTGTGAGCTCCCTTCGAGCGCCAAGGCCGCGCCCAGGGCCATGCCAGCCCTCTGGTCGCTGCAGAGAACCCAGCCCTCGCCGATGGCGCGGAAGTGCTCGGCGTTGAGGGCTCTGGCAACACGCGAAGGGCGACATGCACGATGGGAGACAGTTCGCAGCGACTCGGGGGAGGAGCCCGTTGTGGTCGTGACTCCGCAGTGGGTACATCGGTACCGCCCGAGGCTGGCGCAGTGAACAAGGACATGGTCCGTACTGCGTGCCAGCACAATGGGCCTGGCCTGCTCGCAAGGTGGCCTGGGGACCTCCACGTCGCATCCCCATTGTTTGCGAACCACCACCTGCAGTGCCGCCCATTAAAAGAACTGCAGGACCTTGCGGTGCTGTTTCAGCGCAGCTTTTACCGCCTCGGCTACCGACCCAGCCAGTGCGTGAGAGGCCACACCAGAGCGCGCGAAATAGTCTGCCCAGCCGTTGCCTAGCCAGTCACGCACCTGCGCCCACAAGCTCCTCCAAGGACCTGTGCGCTGGCGTCCATCGGAACTTGGGAGGGTCCCGCAGAGTGCGCCTGCGGCTGGCCACGAAGATGTCCAGCCACGCTCTAGCATGCTTGGCACGACCCTGCTCGAGCTCGGGACACCAACGCTCTCCTTCCTGGGCGAGCGCCAGCAGGTCGGTGACGAAGCACTGGTGGTCAGGGAAAGCGTCGAGCCCCTCTCTAATCGCGTACCTCTCAGCACGGCCGACAATCTGCACCAAGTACGGAAGGGGCCCCAACCGCGCCTTAACTGGGAGCCAAGAGTAAGGATCAAGCTGCATAACTGCTTGTCCACACCTCCGCACCTCGGGAACACCTGCGTCGTAACCAGACCCGCCGGTGTAAAAAACGGGGCCTCAAACGCCATGGGCGTCGCCCCAAAGGCAGACATCATGCCTCCGCGTATCTGCGTGTGGCAGAAAGGCGGGAGGCTCGGGTATGCCAAAAACGAAGTAGGACTGCTCGAAGTTCGGCGTGCCTGATCCAAGACCCGCTTGGATAAGTTGGTCGCGCACCTCAGCCAGCACTTGGGGGAGGTGGAAGATACCACGGCAATTCAGCGTTGGTGTCGCTGTCTCGGGCCCACCATGCCTGCATGGTGCATCAGGCGCCGAGGCTGAAGCCGCCGCCGCAGGGGACAACGGGTCACTCTGTTCCGAAGCAACCGGTGGCGCACAGAGGACACTCTGCGCGTCCAGCCGCGCCTTCTCCTGATGGCCGTCGTACCCATCGGGTGGCACAAAGCCGACCTCTTCATCAACCCCTTGCCCGATGCCTGGAAAGAAGTCGTCCTCAATCTCCATGGTGCTGGGCTGCTGGGCGCAGGTGTAGGACGGCAGGGTCGGGTCGGCCCGACTCTCGAGGTGGTCGTGAACCCGCTGGCGTAGGTCGCCGAAACCCTGCTGCATTTCAGGGGGCATTATTTTTGGGGGCAAAAGGTTCCCTGAAATACCACGCGTGTTCTGCGCTGGTCGCAGGCCTTGGACATGGTCCGTCGGCTCCTGCTCCATGGGTCGTATCTGCCCTGCGGGAGGGCGGGTCAGCAGCGCGGGGCATTCCAAGAAGACACGGCCCCAACATTCATCGGGGGCAAGGGCCTTCCCGCAAGCCTGACAAGGGCGCATGGGCATGCCGAGCTTCATGTCCCTGCGGAGGAGGAGGAGGAGGAGGAGGAGGAGGAGGAGGAGGAGGAGGAGGAGGAGGACGAGTCGCATAAGCCCTTCGGAGGAACCCTCCAAATGGTCGGTGGTGGTGCTGATCGTCGTTGTCGCCTTCGCCTCGCCCTCGCCCTCGCCGCCTTCTCAATCGTCGTCCTCGTCGCCTGCGCGATCACGGTCATGGGCTGGGTGGGCGCTGCCCTCATTCCAGCGGAGTTGCCGTGCAGTGCGGACGCGGCCGCAAGACACCCACGCAGCAAGCCCTCCCCTGAAAATCCGTGCGAGAGGTGGGACTGGGGGGACATCCAAGGTGCACAGTCCCTCTGCGCCCGCGGACAGTTACCGCGCGTCGCGCGCAGCGAGGAAGCCCAACGTACCCTGACGGGAGGGGGCCTTCTGGGCCGCCCAGGGACCCTCTTGGGGCATTCTGGGGCCGTCTTGGCGCGATCTTGGAGGCTGTTAGAGCCGTCTTGGGCCGTCGGCAATCCGAAAGGGCGGGAACGCGATACTCTTGCACATGCCTTCAGGAAATCACAGGTGTTGGGCCTGCTGCCACTTAGATCCTCCAGGCGGTCCTCGTGGAGCAACTTGCAGCGTCTCAGGGACCTCTTGGTCCATCTTGGGCCAATCTTGGGCCGTCGTGGTGCCATCTTGGCGTCTTGGAGGCCATACTGGGCGTCCGGGAAGTAGCTTGGGCCATCGGCTAACATGGGGCGCGGCGTCTCCGCGCGGGGGTCACGCTGGCGAGCGCCCGCGGGCGCTGCCGGCGGCACGCTCGGCGGGCTCGAGCTCGAGCGCGGGCCGTCTCCGCTGCTCTGCCCCGCGGGCCCTGCCACGTGGGCGGCAAACACGCGCCACAAGAGATCTGGCCATGCCGGAACCTTGGGGCGCATGCCTCGTCCAAGGTGCCCCCAGGCTTCTGTTGGTCCCTGGGGCCAAACCCGGGATGCGAGACGTCCGTGGGGCGCCTGCTGGCAGGCCGCTCTCACATCCGAGGCGCCTCCTGTGCAGCGAAGCTGCTGCCACAGGGACCCCTTCCGGCTCCAAGAGCGCCTGGGTGCACGAGGAGCGCTGGAGGAGGGGCCACGGCAGGACCTCGGACAAAGCGGGCCCCTTCCGAACCCGAGCCGGTCCTGATTTCAGCGTCTCGGCTGCATGGCGACCCCACCCCGACTCTGTGGGCCTTTCGGCTGGACATGAGATCTGGGGCCAAGCCCGAAGATGTGCAAGAGGGGGGCGCCCATCCCCGATTTGGGGGTGCGTCCGAGCAGCCCACTTTGGGTGCATCGCCGAGTTTCCCTTGTTCTCGGAGCAGCCTGCTGTTTCGGGGGGATCACGGGGATTGGGGGGCGAGAAGTCGCATGCAACCCTTGGTCACTGGTACGTGGTCTCATCGTCATCAACTGTCTGCGGTGGTGGTGGTGGTCCCCGTGGTGGTCTTGGCTATCGCGCCAATGTCAATTCCATTCGAGCGCTCGAACAATGCCACATTCTCTTAGTGATCGACCTGCCGTTCATCGCGGGCTCTCTACGGATCTCCGCTGTTCCTTGATTTCATGCCGTAGCTCCATCCTTGTTGTCGCGCTCGGCGCACCATCTCCTTCTACACCTCGTCCTGTGTCCATCCTCTCCAGGCCCTCCTGTGTTGAGCACCATTTTGCTTTCCACGCGTCCCCCTCAATTCCGTATGGTCCATTGGTGTGTCCACGTCGTGCAATTCTATCCCCAATCGCTTTTTTTCGTGGGCACAAACCTCTGAGGTCAACGCAACAGAGGCAGTATTCTTAGCGTGCACACGCATCCGCGACGCCAAGGACTACAATCGAATCCTCGGGTGTGAGTCGCCTGGCCTCCCGTGTCGGAGAATCCTTCTCCTTCCACGCGATGATTTCCCAGCAATCGTTTTCCCCGCCGACCTAATTGGGGTTCTCGTTTTCAGTGCACCCCCCCGCGCAGACGAGAGAGAGAGAGAGAGAGAGATTGTCATCAACACCATCATCATCATCATTATCACGATCACCGCCACATCATGACCATCCACCATGGCCATCACCACCTGATATGATCCACCACCATCAGCATTCGCATCATCATCATCATCATCATCATCAGCAGCACCATCATCATCACCATCATCATCATCATCATCAGCGTCAGCATCACCATCATCAGCAACAACATCATCATCATCATCATCATCATCATCATCATCATCATCATCATCATCATCATCATCATCATCATCATCATCATCATCTTCATCTTCATCTTCGTCATCATCATCGCGATCCCATATTGGCCATCCTCCATGATCATTTGCACTGTCGCATCTTCACCATAAGCATCACACTCACCATCCCATCATGGCCATCCATCATCATGACCTCGTCTGTCAATGAATAGCGGGGACGTCAAAAACGGAAGCCTCCTCCCTATGGGGTCCCCGCCTCCATGTTGGAATCCGAGGGGGTCATCGAAATTCCCCAGCAGGTAAAACAGTTGAGCACCCCAATGGGGGTACATCGTGAGGATGTCTCGAGCGGGGGCTCCGTCTGTAAATGGGTAGTGAGGAGGTCTCAAACGAGAGCGTTCACCCTGTGGGGTCCCTCCTTCCATGTTGGAATCAGTGGGGGGTCATCGGGGTGCCACTTTCGAGGGCTGCTTGGGGGGGCCTAGCGGGGTGACGTCCTACCCAGACTCAAATGGGACCTCGCCATCCCTGGGGTGCTCCGAACTGCTAAACGATCGCCACTTTCCAGGGCTGCTGGGGGTCCAGCGGTGTGACGTCCTTCCCCGATTTAAATGGGACCTCGCCATCCGTGAGGGGCTGCGATCTGAACATCTGTCGTCACTTTCGAAGGCTGCTGAGGTTCCAGCGGAGTTGCGTTTCACCCAGACTGGGATGAGACCTCGCCATCCCTGGGGGGATTGCGATCTGCGAGCGTGTCGCCACTTTCGAAGGCTGCTCGGGGTCCAGCGGAAGGACGTCTTACCCATATTGGAATGAGACCTCGCCATCCCTGGGGGGAGTGTGATCTGCGAAGCTGTCGCCACTTTCGAAAGCTGCTGGGGGTCCAGCGGAATAACGTCCTACCCCGATTCAAATGAGACCTCGCCGTCCTTGGGGGGCTGCTGTCTGCAAAGCTGCTGCTGCTTTCGAAGGCGGCTGGGGGGTGCAGCGGAGTGTCGGCTTATGCTGATGCCCAGGGGGCCTCGCCATCCCTGGCGGGAGTATGCTCTGCAAAGCTGTTGCTATTGCCGAAGGCGGCTGGGGGTCCAGCACAGTGACGTCTTAAGCGGATCACCGCGAGACCTCGCCATTCTTGGGGGGTGGCGGTCTGCGAAACTGTCGCCACGTTCGAGGCCTCCTGGGGGGTGCAGCGGGATGACGTCCTACGCGGGTGACCAGGAGACCTCGCCATCCCTGGGGGGCTGCGGTCTGCGAACAAATCGCCGCTTACGAGGGCTGCTGGGGGGGGGGGGGTGCAGCGGAGTGACGTCCTACGCGGATGACCAAGAGACCTCGCCATCACTGGGGTGCTCCGAACTGCTAAACTGACGCCATTTTCGAAGGCTGCTGGGGGGGGGGGGGAGCAGAGTGACATCCCACGCGGGCCACCAAGATACCTCGCCGAAACAACCGCCACTTTCGAGGGCATCTGGGGGGTGCAACGGGCTGACGTCCCACGAATGTGACCAGGAGACCTCGCCATCCCTGGGGGGCTGCGATTTGCGGAACTGTCGCCACTGTCGAGGGCAGCTGGGGGTCCAGCGGGCTGGCGTTTCACGCTGACCACCAGGAGACCTCGTCATCCATGGGGGGCTGCGATCTGCGAGCCTGTTGCCTCTTTAAACGGCAGCTGAGTGGTGCAGCGGGGTGACGCCTGACGCGGGCCACCAGGAGACCTCGCCATCCCCGGGGTCCAGCGGAATGACGCCCTTTTCCTGTTACATGGGGGTTGTTTCGGGTTCTGGGGTCGTCAAGGAGGAAGCAAAGAAACAGGCGGGCGAGCTAGGCCTCGCTCGCTTCTTGCACGAACTATAAGCAGGCGTAATGATTTGTTCGAGCGCCGCGGCGACATGGCGCAAGCAACGCTGCATCTTTCGCGTACTACCAACAAACGCAACACTCGACGGTCTCTTCCGTCACTTTCGTCGTCGCCCTCTGCCCCCCTGTCACCTTCCCTCTGCTGCTCCCGCGCTGCCGCACTGACGGCTCGCCCGACGCTCCTCGTCCCTCTCTGGTTGTCTAGTGGATCGTGCCGCGTGAACGCATCCCATGTAGTTTGCGCACCATATAACGGCGCCTGCCGCCTGCGATGTCATCGTCCTTGCAAGTTTGGGCCAACTCCTCTTGTCACTTGGTGCAAATCTGCCAATTACGCCACAAAACGGTAATTTGACAGGGACGGCGGGGATGCCGTCATATCAATCGCTGCGTGCGGGCCAACTATACCTGTCAACCAACAAGATTGAATGTACTTGGCTTCTACATCTGGGGCATGCGCGGGCGTCCCGCGACCACTTTGCATGTGTTTTTGGGTGGGACGCTGGGGGTGTTGACATATCGCCTGCTGCGCGCAAGCCAACCATCCCTGGCCGAAACAAATACATACTGCACGTCGCCTCCATATTTGAAGCGTGCGCGGGGGCCCCGCGACAACCTTGCGTTGGTTCTTGACAAGGGCGGCGGGGGTGCCGTCATATTGCCAGCTGCGCAGGCCAACCATCCTTGTCAACAAAAAACAACACATAAAGCACTTTGCCTCCACATCTGGGGCATGCACGGGCGTCCCGCGACCACTCGCCTTTTTTTTGCAAGGGCGGCGGGGGGGCTGGCACATGGATTAGATGCGGAGCACGTGCCGCACCTGGCGCGCGTGGCTCGCCTGGGCCTCCACCTGGAACTCGTGGCGCGCATGGCATGCGTGGCGCTCCTCAGCAATATGCTGAGACTCCCTCGGGTACTACTTGTGTTGGGAGGCCGGGTGGATGTGAGCGAGACGGCTTGCGAGCGAAGGGGGGTCCTCAGCCCCTCCCCCTTCCCCCTCTCCTGGGCCTGGGAGGCGAGGGGCGCGGGTAGTTAGAGCGCCCCAGACGGCCCAAGATGGCTCCAAGAGGGCCTGAGAGAGTCCAAGATGGCCTCCAAGATGGCCCAATATACCCCAATATGCATCAAACTAGCCTCCGACACATCCAAAATGCCTCAACACGACCCCAAGACGGATTCACGTTCCCTCCGAACCCTCCAGGACCCCCCCCCAAGAGCCCAACTTGTGTTTTTGTCTTCTCGCCTTTTCGCTTCCGATGGGCTTTTGAGGCCTCAAGATGACCACAAGATGGCCCACGATAACTCCAAAACGTGCCCAAGAGAGCCCCAAGAGGGCCCCAAGAGTGCCCAAGAGCGCCCCAAGAACGCCTCAAGACATCATTTTGGAATCTCCGAGAGGGGCGTGAGTTCATGAACCCCCCCATGGGGCCCAATATTGCCCCAACAGGCCTCCGAGACCCCCCCAAAGAGCCCCAAGAGGGCCCCAAGAAAACCCAAAGAAAGCTCCAAATAGGGCTTCAAGAGTGCCCCAAGAGGCTCCGCGAGGACCCTCAGAGAACCCCAATATGACTCCAAGAGACCTCCTAGAACACGCTTCCAAGGCAATCGTCACATTGCATGCTTCTACACTGCCCTGATCACGGCCACTCGCCTGGCAATCTGTTTCTGGATGGGTTGGTGGGGATACTTTTTTGGTCAGCGGCTCCAAGGCAAAGGTCAAGAAGCGAGTCAACAACGAACGGGGCGCGAACGAGGCTAATTGGCCGCAGTGGCATATGCACGTGCGAGGGTCAAAATAACCCGAAGTGGCCGCTCAAGCCAGCGTAGACGACCCGGCGGTGGAACCAACGTGGCGACCGGCGGCGAGTCGGCGCCGAAACCGCCCTTTGGGCAGGCACCAGCTGCTCAACGCGACCAGAGGATCAGCCGGGCATCCCGACGGGTGGGGACGAGCGCGGCGACCAGCACAGGGGCGGAACTGGAACGGCAGGGAAGTCGCCATGGCGGCGCCTGTCACCGGCCGCATACCTGATGGAAGCGAGGCCAACCGAGAAGAAAGGATGCAAGTGTGTACGGCTGGTGGGGATACGCGAAGCATCAATAATTCAAGTCTCACTGGTCTTGACCCCTGAAAACCTCACACAGCCAGGACTGATCCCTCGAAATGCATTTTACCCTGAAAGAACTCAATTTGAAGGATGCGCGCGACATGCCTGGAACACCGTGCGGGATAACACAAGCTGCCATGCTCGAAGCCTTCATGCGCCGCCGTGTCGACGCAATGCGAATCTACCTCATGCTCATTTTTGGCAAGTCTGGGCAACTCTTCAAACTTTGTCTCACCACCGACATCCGACTACCCCGAGCTGATTGGACCCCGCCGGCCTGAGCAGGGTTTCTCTGGCACGGGGTAGCACCTGGCGCGGGGCAGCACAAGAGGAAGACCGAGCGACGGAAACGAGATAGTGGGCAAATGCGAGCGGGAGGAGGCGGTGGAGCACAAACACGAGGATGAAAAGGAGGGAGCAACGGCGACACGATGCACGACACCATGGCGGCCGAACGCATGGCGAATCGCACCGTGCCACGTCGGGTGGGCGACAGGCTCCGTGCGCCCGCGAGGAGAACATCACACGGAGGTCGCAGCCACGCGTGGGGGGGGACAGGGCGGCACGGGCAGCAGTACAATGGCGCCGACGCCCGCGAGCGACAGATAGGCCGCGCGCATGGGGGCCGTTGGGATCGGCGGCGGACAAACCTCCCTTTAGTTAACCTCCCCTTAGCGAAAACGGCACAGGATCGAAACCGACGGACCCAGACCCGCAAAAATGACGGCCGCGACGCCCTCTCGCGAACCGAAAACGGCCAATTCCTTAATCGACGTGTCAGGCCCCGATGGGAGTGGCGGCCAGCCACAGCCCCGCGCACGACGCCCTCGCCTCCGTGACGGCGCGAGGGGGCCGACATCGCCAGCCCGCGCCCGCCTGCCTGCCAGTCCTCCCACCCGCTTGTCCTCGTCGTCGGGCTTTCGTGTCGAAGCTCGTGTCTCGGGCGGGCCTTCGGGACGATCCGGACATCCTCGGGCGCCTCTCGGCGAGGCGCAGCTGCTGGGACGCGTCCCGAAGCATGAACGCCGCCAGGAGCCGAGGAACACGTTCAAATCCCCCCTGGGCCCAAGCCCCCTAACGCACCCCCCCAGACATGGGATGTCTTGATTTTTTGGCATACGCGGTCATCATTCAAAACATTGGTTCGACTGTCCTGGGCCCCAACGCGGGCCCCTGGAGGCCGAAAACGGCCAAAGTCTTCCGTCGCGTTCTTTCATACTGTGAGTATGTGAAGCATCGTCAAAGACCACGAGCGGAACCCTAGACCCCACCTTTCTGCTGCACTTTTCGAGCTGGATCGATCCGTGAGGGTCGATCTCACGGCACCGCTGCCCTGCCCCCCTCCCCCTGAGCCTGCGGGCCAGAGCTTTTGCTCAGCGCGTCGCGGCGGCGGCCCCGGCGGCACGTCTTGTCTTGCAGGCGGGTAGCGTGTCGATCCGCGTCGCGGGAGGCCTGGGAACGCTCGGGACGTGGACGCTCGGGGACTGGCGGTGGTCAGCGTGTCTCGCCGTAGCCCGGTGGGCCAGAACCTGCGGCGCGCCACGCCGAGCCAAAGTTCCTGGCCTTAGACTACGGGGTGCTGACGACGGCGAGGATGAGGAGGCTGCGGCACGACACGAGATCTAGGTCGGGCGTGTCCCCCTACTGGGGGGATTTCGGGCGTAAAATAAACAAAGCAAATCCAAACAACAGTCAAACATATTAAACGCATAGTCCCCAGATCATTTTTGTATATGTTTGATTATTTCCCCTGTAGAGGGACAGGCACGACTTAACACGAGAGATATCCGAGGTGATGACACACCAAACGTGTGCGTACTTTGCGAGCGTCGCCTGGAGCGATGGGGGCGACGCCCATGGGGGGGGGCGATTGGAGGTGCAATCGTTCGCTCGATCGAACTACTGCGCCAACTCGTGGGCGAACTGATGCTGGGGGGCACGAACTGTAGCAGGGGGCGCAAACTATGATGCCTGATCTAGTACAGGACTGCATCCACGCCCACGCGCATTGATTGCGTCCAGGCCGCAAACTATAGTGCGCGACTTTCGGGTGGCACGGGGGAGCCAAACGCGAGCGCGCAAGCCGCTGCTATCTGGGGACCCCAGTGTGCCCGCATCAAAGGTCACTCCGGCGAAGGATCACTCTTACACGTCGTTCATTTCTAATCGTGCTCGTTTCTTAATTCTGCTCGTTTCTAACCCTTGCTGGCCCGCTGGTGGCCAGGAAGGGGCCCAGGATAGAGGAATTAGAAATGAAAGGATTTTGGCCCCCCCAAAAGACATCAAAGAAGTCGAATCATTGGAAATGAACAGTGTGCAGTCGACTCCGCCTGTGCTGCCCGCACTGCTCCGGCTGAGAGCCGTGGCGAGCACGCCAAGAACGCTGCGGCGGGCGGCGGCGGGGCGCCCCTGCCGACGCCAGGTTCACCGCCACGGCCCCGCCGCTCCTGCGCGCCCGCGCGCAGAGCTCCTGCCCGCCAGGGGCGGGGGGGGAGAATGAGGGAGGAGGGAGGAAGGAAGGAGGGAGGAGGAGGAGGAGGAGGAGGAGGAGGAGGAGGAGGAGGAGGAGGAGGAGGAGCAGGGGAGGAAGAAGAGGAGGAGGAGGAGGAGCAGGAGCAGGAGCAGGAGGAGGAGGATGATGATGATGATGAGGAGGAGGAGGAGGAGGAGGTGGAGGAGGAAAGGAAAGGAAGGGAACGGAAAGGAAAGGACAGCTAAGGAAAGGAATGGGGAGGGAAATGAGCAGGCGGAGGAGGGGGAGGAAGGAGAAGGGAGGAAGGTTGATGCGAGGCGCGGCTCCGCCAGGTGCGTGCTCGATTTTTTGATGATGCGACGTGAGAGGAGGGAGGAAAGAGAAGGGAGGATGGATGGATGGATGGATGGATGGATGGATGGATGGATGGATGGAGGGAGGGAGGGAGGGAGGGAGGGAGGGGGAGGAGGAGGGGGAGGAGGAGGAGGAGGAGGAGGAGGAGGAGGAGGAGGAGGAGGCGGGTGAGGAGGAGGAGGAAGAAGAGGAGGAGGAGGCGGGGGAGGAGGAGGAGGAAGAGGAGGAGGAGGAGGGGAAGGGGAGGAGAGAGGACGAGGCGAAAGGGGAGGACCCAGACATGCCCGCGTCGTGCAAAAAGTCACGACGGCGGGTTTTTGGCCATTTTCGACCTCCGAGGGGTTCTCGCCAGGCACCGGGACCGTCAACAAAACGACTTGGGATGAAAACCCGGCTCTGTGGAAAGGGTCGGGACTTCTAGGGACCGCGTATTGAAGACATCAAAACGCCGCATGCATGGGGAAAGGAGGGAGGAGGAGGAGGAGGAGGAGGAGGAGGAGGAGGAGGAGGAGGAGGAGGAGGAGGAGGAGGAGGAGGAGGAGGAGGAGGAGGAGGCCCCCGTGTCCGTCCTCTTCCTTCTCCCGCACGCTGGCCAACTCGCTTCTCGGTGCCCCCGTGTAGCTCTATCGCTGGTGCAGCTAACTCTGCCTCGCCGCCGACGGGCAGATGCATGCAGTGTTTTCTTCCTCGAGACACCCCGCAGCGAGCCGCTGGAGGAGGAGGAGAAAAGAGGGTGAGACGGGAGAGGAACTGGAGGGGAGGAGAGCATGAGGGGGGCAGGAGGAGGGATAGGAATAGGGAAAGGAGGAGGAGGGGGAGGAGTAGGAAGGGAAGCCCGATGGGATGAGAGGAAGACGAGGAACAGGATGAGCAGAAGGAAGGGGGGGGAATCCTGAGATGATGCCCCCCTGGGTACACCATCGTGGCCTTCTGGAGGGTATACCTCTACTTCCATCAACATCTGCTTGATTATTTTTGCAAGCGTCCGTTGGAAGGTCCGCCATTATTTTCCTTCTGCTGGCTTCCCCCGAACTTCCGCCGAAGACGAGATGTCATACCATTCATTTTTCGAAGACGAAGCAATTCCTGGGACGCTCTACGTGTCCACAGAGAGGCCAGGACGCCCCATTTCCCACCTTTGTGCTGCTCCATCTCTGGCCCCTACGAAAAATAGTTGGAGATCAGAGGCTCCTTCCACTTTTTCCCCTCTCCTCCTCCCCCCTTTTCGTCCTCATGCTCCTCCTCTTCCTCCGCCTCCTCCTCCTCCTCCTCCTCCTCCTCCTCCTCCTCCCCCGCCTCCTCCTCCTCCTCCTTCTTCTCGTCCCCCTCCCCTCTCCCTCTCCTCCTTTCCCGAGCTTCCTCGTCCTCATTCCCCCTCCCCCCTCCCCACCTCCTCCCGCCTCCTCCGCCTCCTCCTCCTCCTTCTCCTCCTGCGCCTCCTCCTCCTCCTCCTCCTCCTTCTCCTCCTCCCGCCTTCTCATTGCCACACCCGGGATGCACCCGCTGGAAGCACCTCTGTAGGCAGCGACGGAAAGGGGGGGGGGAGCGGTGGGATGATTCTGGGGGAGACGCTGAGGGCTGTCGCGAAGGAGGACGAGCGTAACGCTTCTGGTGATTAGGGGGGGGCCCGAGAGAGTCCTCCTCGGCGCCCTTGTAATTAGGGGATCTGGGCTGGTGGGCGCGGATAGTTCTGGGAGGGATGGCAAGGGCTTTCGCAAAAGGAGGGCCAGAGTTGAGGAAGGGATGAGCATGGCGACCAGGGCGACTTAGTTGTACACATCAGCTGGCACACGACAGGAACGGGTCTTAAGCACGAGGACGCAGCCACCTTACGCGATAGGTCACGCAAGCCGCAATCGCGGCAACAAACCGCGTGCAAACGAGGGCACTCATTCGCGGCCTTCCGCGAGCAACTTGCGCGCCAATGTCCGCGCAGCTGTCCCAGCCTATGCGCGCGAGCAGCTGACGGACCAGAAAAGGCGTGATCATGAACTTTCGGAGGACCGCACGGATTTCTTGGATCTGGGCTGGACCCTCCTCCCTGGCGCGCGGAGCGCGCCAGGGGCGGTGCCCGAGGCGCCGCAAAGGGGGCCCAGCGCAGATCCAAGATTCCAGCGAAAGCAAGTGCTCATGCCAGTGTTTCTTCTTCCGCAAATGGATGCCCGATAGCTCCCTCAGTAGTCGGCACGTCAAGCACGCGCCGAGCGACGGCCGAAATGGCAAACATGCGCGGCAATTAAACCAGATCAGGCGAAAGCGCGCGGAGCGCACCGGCTGCCCGCGGCCCCGAGTGCCGCGCGGAAGGGAGCCCCCAAGAGCCCTTGAAGAGTCCTCCGAGAGGCGTCCCAAGAGACCCGCATATGCTTCCAAGAGGCCTGTGGACCACAGCCCAGGGACGGTGGCGGGATGGGTGAAGGCCCCTAGGTCCGCCGCCCCCTGTGTGCTTGCCACAGGGGTGCCCAGCGTGCTAGACCCTTTCGGTTTTGGTTTGTGCTCTTTCCAAAAGAACTCCCCCTGAGTCCCTGAGGCTTCGGCCCGTCCCGCTGGCCACCCGGAAGTGCGCGCAGAGATGCACAACAGGTGGTTGCAAAGGGTTTGTCGTCTCCAGACGGCTCCAAGATGGCCTCCAAGATAGCCCAAGATGGCCTCCAAGTTCGCCCACGATGGTCCAAGATGGCCTCGAAGACGGCCCAAGAGTGTCCCGGATGCCTCCAAGTTCGCGCAAGAAACACCTAAGACGGCCTGAGACGGCCCCAGAGGCCTCCAAGAGGCCTCCAAGACTGCCCAAGAGGCCTCGAAGAGGTCCCCCAGGGTCCTCAAGGACGGCCCGAAGATGTCAAAAACATTGACTTTCTTAAGGTTTTTGAAGGATCTTGGCTGTTGCTCCTTCCCGGCCTTCCGACGGCCCAAGACTGCCCAAGAGGTCATCAAGATCGCCCCAATAGTGCACAAGAAGCCTCCAAGACGGCCCCAGGACGGCCCAAGAGGCCCCCAAGACGGCCCCAAAAAGGCCCCAAGACGGCCCAAGAGGCCCCTAAGAAGCCCCAGGTGGCCTCCAAGACTGCCAAGATGTCCTCGTAGATGCCTCCAAGACCGCCAAGATGGCCTCCAAGACGGCCAAGATGGCCCCAAGATGCGCCCAAAACGGCCCAAGATGGTCTCACGATGGCCTAAGACTGCCCAAAAGGCCCGCAAGAGGCCTCCAAGACGGCCCAAGAGCCCTCCAAGACGTCCTCCAGGAAGGCCCGAAAACTCGGAAACCACCTTGTCCGATAGCTCGCCCGACTCCGTGTTCCCCGAAAGCTTTCGAAACCCACTCGGGGAACGCGTGGCCCGATAGCTTGGCCAAGCCCAAATACAACTTTCGGCCACGCAGGCGCTTCCAAAAAGGAAGGGGGCGGCGGTGATTCGCCGTAGGCATCGTCGATAAGGTCAGTCGAAAGCGCGCGGAGTGAACCACAGGGTTACCCGGCGTGCTGCATCCTTTCGGTTTTGGTTTTGGTTCTTGTTCCCAAAAAGAACTCTCCCCTGGGGCTCCGGCCCAGCCCGCTGGCCACCCAGAAGAGTGCACAAGGTCGCACAAAGCCTGGAAACGACCTCAACGTGCACTATCAAATCCCCCGGTCGACGCCTTTCCTGTTCTAAGTGCTCTCGATGGCCTCCCAGACGGCGCAGATGGCCCGAGGTGGTTTCCAAGTTCGCCCAAGATGGTCCAATATAGCCTTCACGACGGCCTAGGAGGGTCCAAGATGCCTCCAAGTCGGCTCAAGAAAGATGCCTCCACGACGGCCCAAGAGGGCGCCAAGAGGCCTCTAAGACGGCCCAAGAGGCCTCCGAGAGGACCTCCAGGATGGCCCGAAGGAGTCAAAATCATACATTTTCTTCCAGTTTTGGAAGGTTTTGGTGGTCACTTGCTCCTTTTCGACCTTCCGACGGCCCGAGACGGCCCGAGAGGCCCCAAGACCGCTCTTAGTTCGCCCAAGAGGCCTCCAAGGTGGTCCCAAAGCGGAGGGCTCAAAGACGGCCTAAGAGGTCTCCGAGACTCACTAGATAGCCTCCGCGACGGCCCTGGAGCACCCCAAGAGGACCCCCAGTCGGCCCAGAGAGGCTCCAAGACAGCCAAGATGGCTCTAAGATGGCCCAAGAGGCCCCCAAGAGGTCTCCAAGCAGCTCAAGAGGTCTCCACGAGGGCGTCCAGGAGGCCTGAAGAGGTCACAATCATTGATTTTCCATCCGTTGTTGGAGGATTTGGGCATTTGCTTCTGTTCGACCTTACGACGGCCCGAGACGGCCCAAGAGCCCCGAAAGATCGCCCGAAAGGCTTCCAGCATGGCCCCAGAACGGCCCAAGAGGCTCCCAAGACGGCCACAAGAGGACCCTAAGACGGCCCAAGAGGCCTCCAAAACGCCCAAGATGGCCTTCAAGACGGCCCTGGAGCACCCCGAGAAGGTTCCAAGTCGGCCCAGAGAGACCCCCAAGACGGCTTCCGACGGCGTCAGACTGGCCAAGAATGCCCCGAGACGGCCGACGAGGCACCTGAGAAGACCCCAAAGGCCCCCAAGAGGCCCAAGGAGGCCCCCAATATGCCTCCAAGAGGCTTCCAGGAAGCTCCCAGAGGCCCCCCAAGAGTGCCCCCAGAGGCTCCCAAGATGCCTTCTCCTCCTCCCATTCCTCCTCCTCCTCCTCCTCCTCCTCCTCCTGACCTTCCCAACCATCCTCCTCCAAGTGTTCCCCGACGGGTCTCCACAACGGTTGGGGAGAACACGTGGTCCGATAGCTTGGCAGAGCTCTTGCCACAACGCTCGGCCGCATGGGCGACTTCAAAAGCAGGGGGCGGCGGTGATTCGCCGTAGGCGTCTTCGAGAAGGCCAGGCGAAAGCGCGCGGAGTGCGCCGCCTGCCCGCGGCCCCGAGTGCCGCAGGGAAGGGGTGCGCGGGGTTCGGCGGAGGGCCAGCCGAGACAGCGGCGGCCCTCTCTGGCGCCTTCCGCCCTTTTCGGGCCTCCTGGAAGCTTCTCGTCGCCGCGGCCGGATCCGCCCCCCCAAAAACGGGTTGGAAGGGACTCCGGGAGGGGTCCGGGGACCGACTTTGCGCGGAACTCTTGGCGCAGGCGGGGGGGGGCCCGCCGCCGTCTCCACTGCTGGCGGCGAGCCCCGGTGGAAGGCAGAGGTGGCGGGGCTTCTCGGCAGGATCAGCTGGCCTCCCGTCTTCCGAGAAGCTTCCTATAAGTCTTCTCCGAAGACGGCGAGCGGCTTCTCCGAAGGCGCGAGGGCTGCCGAGAAGCCCCGCCGCCTTCCGGGACGGCCTGCCCCCGCGCACTTCCCCCCTCGGCGCGCCGCCGATTCTCACGACAGGGGCCCCCCAGAGGTCTGGGCCCCTTCCCGGGGGCTGGTTCTTCATCCCGATCTGTGTTTTGGTGGTCCCGGGGCCCGGCAGGGGCCTCCAGAGGCCGAAAACGGCTACAAATCCTCCGTCGCCTTTTTTCCTCACCCCAGGAGGTCTGGGAACGCTGTCGAAACTGGCCCTCCTCAGAGGAGTGCGCCCGCGATGCTGCCTCAGTGTCCCGAGCTGCCCTCCCGCGGCGCACGCGGCATGCGCCACGGGAGGGCGCGCCCCGACGTGGCGGCTCATGGGGCCGGCGGCGCATCCGCCGACGCTCCCGGGCTACACGGGAGTCCAGCTGGACTGGCCCGTGGCGCGGTTGAAGTAGTAGACCTCGGGGGCGGCCAAGAGGAGGCGTCCAAGAGGGGGGGGGGTGCAACTCATGACCGGCGGCATGTGCGCGGACAGAGGGAGGGGGCCACAGAACGCACTGAAACAAGCAGAGGCGCCATGAAATCTAGGGAGACATCCTGGCCCCCGCCATGATCTCCCCCCCGCCCTGATCACCACCCCCCTCTTTGGCCGCCCCTGGAGACCTCTCCGCGGCTGGGGACGGCGCGGACGACCGCGGGCGCTGGGCGAGACCGCCCTCCCCCCGGGCCCGAATCTTGGGGTATTTTTTTCAATTTTCGTGTCAAATCCGCCCGTGGAGGGACATGCCCGACCTAAGCGCTGCGGGGGCTTCCAGATCGCCCCGAACGGCCGCGGGAGGCCCGAGCCATGACCCGAAAACCACCAGGGCACCAGCTCGGAGGGGGAAACATCGAGCCAGGATCGGCGATACGTCGCCGACAGATCGACGATGGGCCCCCGATAGCGAATCCTCACGGTCCTGGGCGGGGTGGGCTGTCGAGCCCCTATTTCGGCGATCCACGGGCGATCGGGGGTCGAGACTCTCTCCCTGACGTTGCGCCCTGAAGCCGCCCCCCCCCCCCCCTGCACTCCTTTCCGTCGCCGAGGGTGCCCCGCCCCTCCCGGTGGGGCGGCGGTGCCTCTTCCTTTGCTCGCCGGTGGCAGGATGAGGCCACCCCAGCCCGCAGCGCCGCCACCGGTTGAGGGTGGGAGCGGGTGGGGAATGTATCCTCCGATTCTGCTCCCGATGCGACTTGGGCTCTCGACTCACACGCTTGAGATTTCGAACTGGATCGATCTATGGGGACCCTCCGGGGCCCGAAACGGGACAACACTGCTGGCACCGACTTTGAACACATATCTGCACTGGTATGCCGAGTGAGGAAAGAGCACACGGCACAACAGCTGTCTTCTTTGAAGACCGCATCACTTGGGGCGGATCCCCCCTTCCACCTCCGCCACCTGCTCCTCGCCCTCACCTTCCTCACCCTCCTCAGCCTCATCCTCGCTTGTCGCCCTCCTCCTCCTCCTGCTCCTCTCTCCACCTCCTCCTCTCTTGCCACCCTCCTCCTGCTCCTCTACTTGGCTCATCTCCTGCACTGGCTTTGCAAACACCCCCTCGGAGCTTATGGGGAGGTACCTTGTTGGTGGCCGCGTCGATGGTGGACTCCCATCCTTTGCCACGGGCCTAGAAAAGGGTCCTGAGGGAAACGAGTCCTGGACTCTGGGCGCTTTCCCGTGAACAGGCTGTCACGTGGGGCAATGCCATAGATGGTCATCACTGCGGAGGTCGCAACTTCCTCGAGGGAGCGACCTTTCCTCGAGGAAGTGCGTTCCAAAAAGCACCCCGAGCATTCCAAAACGACCCCGAACGTCTAAAACATCCTCGAGCTTTGATCCTGGACCTTGAACTTCCAGGATGTGACCTCCTTCGGCACTGCCCGACCACCCAGAGTCACGTTTTGACCGCCATGGGGCCCCAGAAAGGGCCTCGGGGTGCAGAAGCTGTCGGACGCGCCTCTACGCCTCCCCTTCGCGCGGAGGTTGACCTCTGGACTCTGGAACCCCTCCGAAGCGCGTTCCGGCCGATGTCTCGGAGGGAGCCCAGGCATGGCGACGAGGGCGCCCCAGCATGCCCCCGAGAAAGGCACCCCAAAGACCCCCAACCCTCGACCTTCGATCCTCGAGGTCTGGGCACTCAGGACCCCTCTGGGCTCGCGGCGGGTCCTGGGGACAGCGTGGGAGCGGCCCTCGCGGCCTCGGCCTTTTGGGGGGCGGACGACAAAACGGGGGACGGCAACGGAGAGGCAAGCGAACCTGCCTCGCTTTGAGCCACCCTCGCTTCCAAATGGGAACCAGGCAATGCCAAATTGGTTTTGCGTTAAGTCGGGCGTGTCCCCCTACAGGGGGATTTTGGCAGAAAAATAAAGCAGTAGTCAAAAAAATACACCCAAATAGTTAAACAATGCTAAAAAATGGTCCCCAGACTATTTTTTGCCAATTTTTGAATGTTCCTCCTGTAGAGGGACAGGCACGACTTAAGTTTTGCCTGGAAGCGAAAGCGGGGCAGGCACCTCACCCTCTGGGCAAAGGGCGGGTCGGCGAAATCGGCTGCGTGCAGCTGGCCTTCCGTGGGCACCCTGGCGCCGGAGGCGCCACTCGTCGAGAAAGGGCGCTCGGCGGCGGGCCGAAACCAGGCGCATGCGGCACGTGTCGTGCCTCACCCCTCTCTCGATAATTTCCAGTACAGTCACGCAGCCTCCTAGCCACCAGTCGAGAGGGGAGGGGGAGGAGGAAGAGAAGGGGGGGCAGGAAGCGGAGGATCGAGATGAGAATGACGATGCTGCTGGTGATGATGCTGATGAGGATGAGGGTGAGGAGGAAGAGGGCGACGATGATGATGATGATGATGATGATGATGATGATGATGATGATGATGATGATGATGATGATGATGATGATGATGATGGCGATGATGATGATGATGATGATGATGATGATGATGATGATGATGATGATGATGATGATGATGATGATGGTGATGCTGATGATGATGACGATGACGATGCTGATGCTGATGCTGCTGCTGTGCTGATGGTGATGATGCTGGTGACGCGAATGCTGCTGGTAATGACAACGGCGACCTGGACGACGACGACGGGAATGATACTGATTATGGTGATGATGGTGATGGTGATGGTGATGGTGATGATGATGACTATGATGATGATGATGATGATGATGATGATGATGATGCTGTCAATGAATATGATGCTGATGATGCTGATGATCCTGCTGATGATTGGGGCTGGTAATGAAGATGCTGATGCTGATGATGCTGATGCTGATGGTGGCGAGAGGCTGGGAATAATCATGTGGTGGGGAGGAAGATGAGTACGACGATGATGATGATAATGGTGGTGATGCTGCTGCTGGTGATGGTGACGATAACGTGGATCATGATGATGCTGCTGATGATGCTGCTGCTGACGACGACGACGATGAGGATGATGATTATCGAATACTGCATTGCACGAGGTCTTCTCCAACATACCCGACTGCACAATAATTGGATGCGAGAGGCGCGCAGCGAAGGCAAGAGTAAGGAGGGAGGAAGAGGCTGAGGAGGAGGATGCGGAGGAGGAGGACGAGGGGGTGGGGGCAAAGAAACGTTTAACTCAAGTATACAATGTGCGGTAGACCGATGCCATGTGAGCCTCGCGGGTGTTCCGATCTGCAAGCAGTTGTCGGCGCACAGTCATCAGTTCACTCTGGGCGCCAGTGGCCCACTCTATGTCGTCAGGGAAGGGGACGCGTCGAGCATGGCGGTCCAAATCTTCAAGCAGGCCTCGGTGGCGCTCAGTGGCACGCTGCGCCTCAAGCGCGTCCTGCCCGATGGCCTGGGCACGCTCGGCCACACGACCCGACGCGCATTGAACGTGCCGTTCAGCACGATGCCCAGGCTGATAGCAGCTGCAGCCGCAGCCGCCCATGGGGGGAGAACCAACCTGCAAAGAAACTGGAGGACGTGCCGGAGCACGGCCAGGCAGAAACACATCATCAGCAGCAGAACGGTGACGACCAGGAAGACGAACGGGAACGGCATCACTGCCCTTATTATCACCTGCAAAACGAAGCTCTGCAGAACAACAATGAGCCCGAGGCGCTTCGACCAGTGGCCCAGTCAACAAAGGATCGCACCCAGGAGAAAACCAAACGTCCGCAGGACTACGAGCACCAGGAGCAGCACGATGCGGACAATCGCATGAAGCCCCACCACCTCGAGGGTCGCCATCAACGCCATGACCATCAGGATTGCCACTATCATGTGGCCCACGAGCTCAAACTGGGCGGGCATGCTTCATAGGGACCGATGAACGAGACTCGTCTGGTGATGAAGAGTGTCCGTGATCAACAACAACGGCGTCTGGCAGCGAGTTGGGCATCGCTTCGCTCCGCTTTGCCTCGAAGGGATGGCCTGCGCGGCTCGGCTGCGGTGGCTCTCAGATCAACTGGCACAAGGGCGGCAATGTCAAGCTCGCCTCAACTCGCACTGCGACCGCGTGACGTTCCACGTTGATGATGATTCAGCTGATGCCGATGATCAGGATGATGACGATGAGAATGATGAGGATGATGATTATGAAGACACTGATGATGATTCTGATGCCGACATTGATGCTGATTTTGGTGCTGATGAGGATGGTGGTGATGATGATGGTGATGATTATATTGATGACCCACTCTCATGAAGGCGCGCAGTGCACAAACCCACAGCATCAACCTAGATGCGGCCCCGCCCGCCAAGCGATAAGCCGAGCAGGCCACGAGAAGAGGGAGGAGGAGGATGAGGAGGAGGAGGGCGAATGTAAACCCAAGACGCAACGATGTTGGAAAACACCCTCCCTCCAAACTCCCTCTCTATGAGCCCCTGCAAGGGATCATTTCCACTGAACGAATGGCCCCGTTTGGGGACAATCGTGCAATTACACCAGAAGACCCTAGTCGGTGGATTTTGATTTTTTCTCAGGTGCTTCAATCGGCCTTCCTCCCGCCCTGGTTTAATCCAACTCTACTATCTAGCACAGTCCAATTGTTATATATTCCGCTCCCTCTCTCGTTCTCTCTCTCTCTCTTTCTCTTGTTTCTCTCTTTTCTCTCTCTTTCTCTCTTCCCGTATACATACATATATATACACACAGCTCCCTATACCTTCCCGTGGATATATACATGCATACACACATATACATATACATACATATACGCATGTTCACGTATCGGTCGGAGGTTGGGGAGGGGGGTGAGATCGCAATGAAAGGGAGACCCCCCCACCGGGATATTGGTTTCGGGATCACGTTCGTGTCGCGCGTGCAGGCGAGGCGAAGCCGCGTGGGCGGGCGAACGAAACGGACCCGCCGTTGCCAGGGCGAAACCGAACCAATCATTGCTGTCCCCCGGGTTGGCCATTAATGGCCCTGTGGTGTCCCGATGGTGTCCCGATGGTGTCCCGTGGTGTTTCGTGGCGCGGGGGTGTCCCGTGCCATGCTAGATGCGATGCTATGTTATGCCAGCGATAGTGAGATGGATCGTGCGATCGATAGTTAGATCCATTGAGTGAGATCGAAAGTGAGATCGATGGTGGTATCTATCGTGATATCGATAGTGAGATTGGTAGTGAAGTCAATTGAGTGAGATCGATAGTGCGATCGATGTTGACATCGATAGCAAGATCGATAGCGAGATCGGCAGTGACATCAATGGGGATATCAATCATGATATCGATAGTGAGAACGATTGAGTGTCATCGATAGTTAGATCGAAAGTGGCATCGATGATAACATAATCGGTAGAAATAGCGACATTGAGAGCGATCGTGAGATCGATCGTGTGATCGTTCGTGCGATCTATGGTGAGGATCGATAGTGATATCAATAGTGTGGTCGACAGTGAGATCGATAGTGAGATTGAGACTGAGATCGGTAGTGAGACATATGTAATGAAATGGATGGTGAGATTGGCAATGAACTCGATAATGAGATCGACCAGGAACCTGGGAACTGGGGGCCCAAAAACTGGAACCCTGGGAACCCCGCCGCCCATCGAAATCGGCCTGGAACCAGCAACCAAAAACCCGGGAACCCAGAACCGGGAACCTGGGAACCCGGCCGCCCATCGAAATCGGCCGGGCACTACAGGCGAAATCTTTCAACATCCGCCAGGAACCCTTCAGTGCAAGCACTGATTGGGGAAAAAACCGGAAGCGTGCCAAAATACCAACCTCAAGATTTCAACGCCACGAATTAACCTGATTATGATTAAGCTGATTGTCATGTCTACCGTGCCAGAACATCATTCCTGGGACTTCAACATCTTCAAATCGAATATGCGAGGCGCTGAAGCGAGAAACACATTTTGAACAACACCGCCCTGAAAATGTGAAGCTCTTCGCAAATTTCCCAACCATCCTGTGGTGTTGGGTCCTCGTTTTGAAGAGACAGCGCGCCGCGTTCTCACTCCTTTTCCCGCTCCTCCTCCTCCTCCTCCCTCCTACCCCTCCTTGCCTCTGCCCTCCGCATGTCTTTGTTTCGGCACACACGGTACAGCGTTTCGTGGCCCCAGGGGGAGCCGCACCGACGTTCCCAGTGGCGCAGTCCGCATGCGGTTCCCCCAGCCAGTACAGCGCTTCGTGCCCCAATAGGGGGCTCCACCCACGGCCTCCGTGGCGAAACTCGCATGCGGTTACCCCGCCCAGTACAGCGCTTCGTGGCTTCATAGGGAGGTCCACCGAATGCCCCAGTGGCGCAGACCGCATGAGGTTCCCCCACCCAGTGCAGCACTTCGTGGCCCCATAGGGAGCTCCACCGAAGGTCCCAGTGGCGGTGTCCGCATGCGGTTCCCCCACCCAGTGCAGCACTTCGTGGCCCCATCAGGAGCTCCACGGAAGGCTTCACTGGCGGTGTCCGCATGCGGTTCCCCCAGCCAATACAGCGTTTTGTGGCCCCATAGGGACCTCCACCTACGGCCTCAGTGGCGGAACTCGCATGCGGTTCCCCCGCCCAGTACAGCGTTTCGTGGCCCCAGAGGGCGGGAGCTCCACCGAAGGTCTCAGTGGCGCAGTCCGCATGCGGTTCCCCCACCCAGTACAACGATTCGTTGCCCCAGAGGGAGCCGCACCGACGTTCCCAGTGGCGCAGTCCGCATGCGGTTCCCCCGCCCAGTACAGCGTTTCGTGGCCCCAGAGGGAGCCGCACCGACGTTCCCAGTGGCGCAGTCCGCAGGCGGTTACCCCACCCAGTACAGCGCTTCGTGGCCCCAAAGGGAGCTCCACCGAAGGGCCTAGTGGCGCAGTCCGCATGCGGTTCCCCCACCCAGTACAGCGCTTCGTGGCCCCATAGGGAGCTCCCCCGAAGGACCCAATGGCGCAGACCGCATGCGGTTCCCCCCCGCCCAGTACAGCGCTTTGTGGCCCCATATGGGGGCTCTACCGAAGGTCCCAGTGGCGCAGTCCGCATGCGGTTCCCCCATCCAGCGTGCCGTTCCACCACCCAGTACAGCGCTTCGTGGCCCCATAGGGAGCTCCACCAAAGGTCCCAGTGGCGCAGACCGCATGCGGTTCCTGCGCCCAATACAGCGTTTCGTGGCTCCATAGGAAGTTTCACCGAAGGTCCCAGTGGCGGAACTCGCATGCGGTTCCCAACGGTGTCCGCAAGCGGTTCCCCCAGCCAGTACAACGTTTTGTGGCCCCAGAGGGAACTCCTCGGAAGACGATGCCCACAACTGTGGTAATTACTCACAGCTGCATATGGTTAGCTTTTTCGCCAGGCTAACTTTAAGACGAATGTGCTCGGCGCTGAGGCGAGAACCACATTTCGAAAGCCGCCCGCCCTCAATCCGTGAAGCTCCTGTGAACTTGTAAAACGAATGTGCACGGCGCTAAAGCGAGAACCACATTTTGAAAACAACCCGTCATCAATCCGTGAAAAACTTTTTTTTTGTATGAGTGTGCGGGGCGCTAAGCGAGAACCCCGTTTTGAACATCACCCGCCCTCATTGCAAACATTTCAAATGCTGAATGTGCGCGGCGCTAAGGCGAGAGCTACATTTTGAAAACCACCCGCCCTCCATGTGTGAAGCTGCTGCTAACTGTGAAGCTTCAAAATTACAAACGGTGAATAAGTTTCAAGCGAAACGCCGGGCCCGCCCTTTCGACCGGCCTCGGGGAGAGTTCTCTGTAAGGAGTTCTCCGTAAGGAGAAGGAGTTCTCTGTAAGGAGCTCCCCGCGAGACAGGG